CTGCTGTATTTCCCATCATGTGTCTGTTGTGATTTAATGAGTCATGAACTTCATCCTCCACCTGTGCTGTGCAGTTACATAAAAACAATGAAAGGCCAAGAAATAATAATCATTTTTAATATGAATCATTTTAATGAATTTATTATGACTGAAAACACACACAAATAAAAGGGTTTAAAATGAGGTGTATGAGCCTAAAATATGGAGATGATATGTGTCAGGCACTTTATTCATTGCATTCTGTGTATTTTTATGCATTCGTTTTTTACTAACACTTACCACCCGCAGGGGGTTTACAGGACTTTTTAAATAGAGTGAGGAGGACCCGCAGGACATCACAATATTTGATTAGTAAAGACAGACGTATTACAATGTGTTACATTGTTGCACAACAGAAATTTCTATTAAATTATTGTTTTGCAAAATAAGTTCACACATAGATCCTTTACTTAACTAGTTACTGGTCATCTTACTCAAGTATGTATACTAAGGTTTTAGGATCAAAATATAAAGTACTCATTAGATTACAGTAACTGATCTTCAGCAAGTATGATCACCTCTATAAAAGCAGAAGCTTCGGCAGTGTGCTGCTCACAAACATTCGTGTTTGTGCTGAATGAAAGCACAATGCCACAATCTTCCCAGCAGTGAATGTTTCAGTAAATTCACAGCAATGTCAGACCATCCAAAAAACAGAGAGCTACATCTCTGACTCTACAGGCCTCAGTTAGCATGTTAAATCTCTGAGTTGCCAAGTGGCAGCCAAGAAACCTGAAGTATTTAGAGCATTTCTGTAAAGAGGAGTACAAACATCTTACTGCTGAACTTGCCAACAAGGGTTTCGCCACCAAGTAGGAAGTCCTGTTTTGCATGTTCTCAAATACTTGTTTCACTCAGTGACATGAAAATTAATTTATAACTTTTATGTTGTGGTTGTTATGCTGCCTCTCTCCATTAAAATTACAGACTGTTCATGTCTTTGCACTTCAGTAAAGTACTAGAGTAAACGTTTGTGCTACAAATTAATTGTATCCTAATCCTCGCTATAAATTGAAGGGTTAAAAAAAAAAAGCATTATCAACCTTGTGTCAGTCACAAACTGTGGTCTGGTAATAATAAAGTCAAATTTCAGATTTCAAAGCCATAACAAATAACCGTCTGCTTTTCATTCAAACTTGTTCCTCTGTTGGTCTCTAAACAGAATGAGCAGCATAGCAGAGAAATGATGTGCGACAGGGAAGAAGAGTGGGGTGGACTTTGAGGAGGGGTGCACATTATTGAGTGAACACTTGAGCACCATCTAAAAATTTTACTTTATCAAGATTTGTAACTTTATATTTTATTAAAGTGAATCTAATTTACTCTTTTTTTGTAGACATATGGTTCCTATGACTGTATATATACATATACAGCTATAAATAAGCAAGAACATTTCCCTAAAAATGTAAATACCCCCACCCAAACTCTAAAACACGTCCAGTGTGGGATTTACATTAGAGGATACTTACTGACTGACATATTGTTTTAGTCTTTGGTATCATTCTTGTGAATAAAACTTTCCAACAAATGAAAGAGAAAAATAAAGAAAGCCGCCTCTCGTCTCCTTAAGCTGAATTAAATCTCATGAACACGCTTCGTCTGAACAAACCTGACAGAAAATAGTAAGAGTGATAGTGATGCAGTCCACTTCCCAGTGTTCCCAGTCTGTGCTGCTCTACTGGTATTTTGCCAGCAGTATAACGAGGCTGAGGATGAGCCAAAGAACCAGGAGGTGAGAGGTCACCAGGAGAAAGGCCACTGGGTAAAGATGCCGTCTGGGGGCTTTGGGGGCCAAACACTGTGGGAGTTCTGAGGGAGTCTCCCCTGGATCTAACCCAGAGACAGGGAACCCTGACTGGGTGTAACAGCCAAGCATCTGCCCCCAGGACAGATGAGATCTGGAGGATGAGCAGGGGTGTTTGTGTGCAAGTGTGAATGAAAGCCAGGGGGGGCAGAGAAGGAAGAGATGTGAAGAGAAAGAGAGGGAATTGATGGCATGAAGTAAAAGAACAAAGAGAGAAAAAGATTAAACTGAAAAAGTTTTGCAACATTTACAATAAGTGGAGAACAAAACGGGGAAACAGGAAAACCAAACGAGGTGAACAAACAGAAATAAAGGAAGGCAAGAGGAAGAGGATTGTTGTGTTTTTCAGGAGAAACAAAAACACACCTTCTCATCCAGTCCAGTGCGGTGCTGAAGTGCTGCTGGCTGAGTGTGTGTCGCTCCCGCAGTAAGGCGCACTGCTCCAGCGTCACCGACATCGCAGTGCGGTCCTTCGCACTCTTACAGCTCGTCAGCCGCACACCGTTCACCTTACGACACACCTGCACGTGACAAAAACACTTTGTTCAAAGGCCCAAAGCAGAGAAAACACATTAATATTATGTGAAGTGTTGTAGCAGAGGTCCTAGTGTGAATGCCCCTTGAGTAAGTTCAACATTGACAGTCAGCTGAGCCCTTTCTGTGGGGCTTGGACGTTCTTCGCCTGTACAAGCATATTATTGCTTGTGAGGTTAATTTGTGGTTCTAAACTGGTTACATGGAGTAAAGGAGTCCCCATCGGGAGCACTGGGATATTTCCCGGTGGTTCCCACCAGGTGATCCCCACAGAGTCAGGTCTTAAAAATCTTACATGAGTAAGTCTGTTTCAGGTGCTTACCTTAGCAGCGATCCACAGAACCTCCACGTTCTTCCTCTTCTTGGCCTCAATGCTGCGTTCCAGAGAAGACAACAAGTCTGCCAGCGACTGGATACCAGCTGACAGAAGAAGAAGGAAGTTCAGTTCAGTCATTGTTTCACTGTTAGCGATCAGACAACCCTCTGTGAGCAAGCAATTAGCAAGAGTGGGAAGGAAAGCACCCTTTTAACAGGAAGAAACCGCAGTAGTGATAAAAAAGCCTTACCCATGTCCGGCAGTCTGTCCCTCAGTGTGTTACAATAAGCTTTGAGACGCTCACAGCTCTGCTGGTTTATTCTCTCCTGCAACGAACAGTCACCAAACCTGAAAACAAACATCAGCTTCTGAGTATTTTTACCAAAAATGGAGAGAAATTTCGCAGCTTACAGGAAGCAACCTTCTATTTTTTGTTGTTGTGATATTATAATGTTTAATGTTCATAATAAAAGTTGGCTAAAGTTTCAAATAATGAGGGAAATGTCAAAAGCCAGGTATGAACAGTAAATGTTGTTTTCAAAGCCTTTTCTCTACCCAAACCTGATCTCTACTTGCAGATTTTCTCACAAAATTCAACCACTACATCTTGAAACTCCTCTGGGTTCTTATTTGGGCTTTTAATTTGAAGCATTCCAGATGCCGGCCAATCAGAAAAGAGTGGACTTTTAAAAAGGTGTGCCTTCAAAGGGCTGCTTGTTTCAAATGGAGGATGAGCTAAGCGCCTACAGAGAAGGACAAAGTAACCAAAGCTAGTCGAATCCTAAAAGACGAATGTGCAGCTTGAGATGCAGCGTAAAGTCATCTGATTAATAATCTCTAATGAAGATTAAGCTGTCGATGAAGATGTGCACCAACAGCAGACACATTAATATTTTTTTCCTATAAGACCTCTACTTCCAGCAATTTTATTCAGAGGTAGAAAAATATATTGATGTTCACAAGAGTTTGAATTTTGCTCATTAAAGAGTGAAAAGCAGTTTGTTTACCTCTCAGCGTAACTCTGATGCTGATTGATTCCAATGTTAAACAGAACAGGATCGACTCGAATCAACAGTCCATCTTTCAGTTCCTGTGGAAGTGAGCTGAAGGTCTCCGGGGGCAACGGCACTTCAACAATAAAACTGCCCCTAGTTGGAAATGAACGCACAAAGTGAGGAAGCTGCACACTCACTGCGTGTATAGATGTGTGTGTCTGTGTGTGTATTCCCACCATGTTCCATTGAGTGTCGGCAGCAGGTCGTCTGGTTGTTCCGTTTTGGCCTCGGTGATGGTGAACACTACTCTCTTTAGGTCAGCCACACCCACTTCCATGTCTTCCAGCATCCCAATCTCATCACCTGACACACAAACACACCTTAAATGTGTAAGCACTGCATGTGTCACACTAAAATAAAGGACAGCAGCTTCCTTGAGAGTGGCTGCCCCGTGATTGCACTAAAACTTTCACTTTCAGTGAAGGCCTGACACACACCTTACTGCAATCACTCTCAGTGATTGAAGCAAGAAGAATGAGTTGAGTAAAGTTTGACTTATCTGACTGTTTTGTTTTGCTTAATGTGCCTTATGGACCGAAAAATACATTAATTGTCAACTTGACCCCTTTCAATTGCAGACTGATAGCCGAATAAACTCCACAATTGCCATTTTAACACATCAATCACTCAGTCATGAGACCTGGTCCCCGTCTTTAAAGCAACCATGTCAAAGTCAATAAGATCACAGGTTCTTCAAACATGGTAACAACAATTTGGTCTCACCAATGACTGTTTTCCATAGTGTGACTGTGTGTGACTAGTGTGTATTTACCGTGGGTGCTCAACAGGCTTTCAAATTGAGCCAATACTCCTACAGTGTGAAGTTGCCGTAGAAAGTCAGGATCCTCCAGGCCTCTGTAAAGCTTCAGCATGACACCACAAACTACTGCTGAGAGCTGGAAGACAAACACAGTTTCTTTAATACAGAAAACTACAAACTCCCACTAAAATTCTCCCCCCAATAAAAAAAAAAACCAGAACATGTTCCCTTCTAAATCTCTGTCATCCTCACCGCCTGGCTGAAGACGGCGTGACGTCTCTGGGCTATGTGTGCAGGGCCCTGAGCGACCGTCACATCCACTGCCTCCTGCAGGACCACAAAGGTCATTGCTACCTGGGCCTTCCCCACTGCCTCACGCACGCAGTCCCTAAGAGTGACCACCAGAGGGAGAAGGTGCTCTTGCCAAGTGCACCCAGAGAAGGAGGAGCAGGAGGAACGAGAGGCTGGAGGGAGAGCATGAGAAAGTTTGGTGTTTTAATCAGAAATTTACAAAAAGAAAACAAAAAACAGATATCTGAAAATGAGATATCTAAGGAGAAGAAGAACTAGCAAAACTAAGTTAACAGGAAATGCAGCACTGATGAGTGAGATGAAGTGATCTTTCAAACAGAAAGAAAACAGTGAAGCATTAAAAATTGTTATTCAAACGTGCTTTGTGCATGTATTAAAACCTGTTCACTGTCAAAGTCTGATCGGAATTTAAAACGGAGGTATTCTCCGACTGTCTCAGCACATGGACTGATTTTGATTTAAAGGACTCGAGATGAAATAATCCCGAGGTTAAATTAACCATCACAAGATTCATACACAGCCAAGATGCACATTGCTGAAAAACTGTATCGAGCTTATTAACGTTATTTCAAGCATGATCTCAGTGAGAACGCTGGTTGGCCTGCCAGATTATCAGCTAGCATAATCCATGATATTAACACGTGCACAATGTCAGGTAATACTTCAAGACTTCCTCCTCCAGAGTAAATACACGTGGACACACAGCATACTGACAGCCAAGGTAACTATGGACTGAACAGCTGAATCTACTAAAACCTTTTGCAGAATAATCAATTGACAAATTTGTTTTTTTATCGCTAATTTAATGCTAAATATATTAAAACATATAAAAATGATTTTATACACAAACAGGAGCAGAAACATGCACTTGTCTGAATAAGAACTCTGAGACGTGATTTACCGTCACCTGTGTTCTGAGAGTTTGTGTCCCCTTCCTGCGGCTCTGGTGACATCACCGTCTGCTCCTCTTGCTGCTGCAGTCGGTCGACCATGGCAACAATGCAGTTGATGCTCTTTCCGACATTCACCCACACCCTGTCCTACACAAAAACAAGCACATATAAAAACTGGAATCATACAACGCTGTCGGAAACACGCAGACATCACACACACTCCAACTTGCCCACTCCTCGTCGTCGTACTCCGTGTCGTGTCGGCCACCATCCTGCTCCTGATCGGCGGGACAGTTCTCACACAGCAGCCCGTTGCTGTGCACGTGGCTGCTGTTGGCGTTTGCGATGCACTGGTTATGGATCTCCAGCAGGGCGCATTTTACCAACTCCTCTTTGAGCGCGTGCACAAACTGCTCGGTCTGGTGGACGACAAAGTATGAGGAAACGTCAGATTTCTTGGTGTCCAAACGACTGCCGGTTAGCTGTATTCTTCTTATTCCTTCCTCACCTGTTCCGTCAGGCTGCCCAGGACCTGCCGCAGCCGGGCGGCGTTCAGCTCCTGCGCGACGGAGAGCAGCTCCTCTGCGAGCCCGAAGACCAACGGCTGCAGCTGGGCCATCCTTGTCAGCAGCTCCTTGGCTCTAGAGCTCTCCTCCTGGGAGTAAGAGACACATCTGGAGAGGAAAGAAAGGAGGACGAGGAAAACTTTACCAACAAGCTAAACTGAGAGACACTGAAGAGTCCAACAAGTCCACCTGTGTAGATTACACACTGTTGTATCTGTTATACAACAGATAACAACATGAATTTGTATTGAATCCTTGACTGCAACATTTTGGCTTTTTAAAACCAGATGTGAAGGACACGGGTTACATCCAAGACTACTGCGGGCTCGTAATCTAGCAGATTTAGCCTGGGCGGTCGATTTAACTCTAGGTGGGGCCATTATTTCCAAACTAAACATGTTGTAATCAGAAAGATGATTGATGCTATAAACTCATCACAGAGTTTACTGGGGTCAAAGTGAGAAGTAGGATTATTTCTGCCTGAAAACGTGCTCAGCCTACGAGCACCGTGATGTCCCCCTACGGTCAGGACATTTCTGTTCTTAAACCTCAAGCTGAGCATTTAGAGTTAAAGTTCACCTTTAAGTATTTATCCTTCATGACAAGCTTGTTGGACACTACAGTGACTGATATTAAACCTCAATGCAGAAAAAACAGCAAATTTGATTTGATTGGTTTGCACAGTCTCCAGTTTTCACATGTGGACACTGTTTTTATCTCTGAGATGCCTCTTTATGCAATACAGTGATGCCTCACTGTAGGGCTGGGCGATATGACCCAAAATTCATATCTCGATATTTTTTAGCTGGATGGCGATATAAGATATATATCTCGATATTTTTTTAAGCCATAAAGTAAGAACAAAAAGAGTTCTTAGTCAAAGCTGTGTCCCAGATGTCACACAGGCACTTTTATTAACATACAGCACAGATGTACATGAAAAATTACTCA